TGTCCCCCCCCCCCTCCCCCCCTGCCATCTCGCCATCCCGCCGATCGAACAAACGTCGCCACTTTGAAATGTCGACGGCGATGAAACATTGACCTCTCCGATGGCGAAAGGCTAAAGAGCTCCGGCTGTGGGCCGCTTGGTGGAGCTGTGCCATGGCGAGGCGTGCCAGTCGAAGGTCAGTGTGAAATATTGTGTTCTACGAGAAATCTAAGTGCCCCCCCCCCAAAAAAAAAAAATACCTGGAAAGCCTGGAAACGTCACCCGTTTCCCGGTGCAAGGCTCCCGTCTCTGGAAGTGTTCGTTGCCGAGATATATTTCTTCCTGTAACCTAGGTATACTTCTCGGCGTCCTGGAGAAATATTCTCTCCAAAAACCGACACCGATGAGGATAAAAGCAGCCCCCCCCTCTGATGCAGCCCTGTCTTGTGTAAAGCTTGCGCTTCCAATTGTGTTGCCCGATGAGCAGCCGCGCACTACGCTCTACACCACGTTGTGTGTTTTGGCTGGTTGCTGCCCCCGGCAGAGGAGAAAAAAAGAAATAAATAGAAAGGTGAGTCTCCCCCCGTACTCGAAAGTGAAATGTTCCTAGCGGGTGCATGCGCCTTCGCCCGCCCGCCCGGTGTATGTCTTCGATCGCCTCCCTCCCCTCACCTGTCTGCTTTTGTCGTCGTTTCGTTTCAATCAAGAACGGGGATCGCACCGGCTGCTGTTGCAAAGCTACGTGTTTGTGACGGCCTGCTGTTTGGGGTGCTCGGCGGAGTACTCTGATCTCCGGGGCCTCCGGGGGTTACGTGGATGATGTGTGTATGATGGATATGATGCGCGGGGCCCCTCTGGCCTTGCCCATGTATCTCTCACTCGTTAATCTACAAAGGCCTTGAGGCAGCTTTCTTTCGCTTTCGACCCCTGACGAAGCTGCCGCACACACACACTGACCTGCCTACCTGCCTGCCGCAGAGCTTACGAGGCCAAGGGCCGGGCGACGTCGGCAACGGATGTCTTCGAGAACATCGGGATCGTGTTCGCCGAGGTTTCTCCGTCCCCAGAGGTCGAGGATCCCTAAAACGATTGATTGCTGGGAAAGTCAGTTGGGGATGGGGGGGGGTGCAGCCGCAGGGCCGCTGTCGGAGAGGTGTATTTTGATTCATTCCTCCACCTACAGTAGTCTCCTCTGTGTGGATAGAGGGAGGTCTGACTGCAATTTGAGTCTTGTCTATTTTTGTAGCCGTGTTGGAAGGCCTGCAAGTATCGTGTGTTGTTCGTTGTGTTCGCGTCTTGACAACCCTGGGCTGGGAGCAAGCCTGACAACAATCGTTTTGCTGTTTGTTGTGGCTGTAGCGATGTCCCAGGGAGGCTTGAATATCGCACTGAGATGCCCTGTACCGGAATCAATCCCACTGGCAAATGCCTCGTGATGAACATTGCCTGCCTCCCGTCCTCCCCGTGTCGTCGAGCGCTTCTTGCAGTTTTGCATGGTTGGCTGTGCACTCCGACTCGATATCGGGGCACTTGGGAGATATAAATGTATATATTTTTATATAGAGAGAATCACACGAACGTGAATGCGGTAGTTGCACCCCGTCCGGTAGGCCTATCTTGTAGGCATCCTCGGCAAAGTGGCTGCCAAGTTGGGAATTCGATCTTGAAGAAGGGGTCTTTTCTGCGCGTTTCGTACCACCAAGTCTACTGCTGCTGCTGCTACGATAAGAACCCTCGTCCTTTCAAGCGCTCCTTGTTGCAGGATGGGTAAGAAAAGGGTAGAGCGGTATTGAGTATTTCCGCTTGCCGGACCCAACCGGCACTACCAACTACCATGGTACGGTACGGTACGGTACGGTAGAGGACAGTTCGCAAGGTAAGTTTTGTCCTCTCCTCACGTCGAGAAGGGGACCAAACGAACCCTACATTTTGTCCTCCGTCGTACAAGTAGTTGATCTGCCACCCTCGATCCAACCGATGACAGATATGAGCACTTGAAATGACGAGGTTTCTTGTTTCTAGTGTAGGCTTGGGCCGGCTGATGGAGAGACGTGCAGGTCAAACTTGTTGCGTCGGCCTCGTAAGGGGGACATTGGTGCGGACTGGTGCTGGGTGCGGAGAAGCGAGGGAGGCAGAGGAATGCTGGCGGAGGAAATTGTGCGACGGCGAGCGGACGATTACGTGGGTGCGGTGGGCAGGCAAGAGGGCACGCCACCGCTACGTCCAAAAACATGTACTGTATACATCACATACGCTTTTGGACTATTGACTGCATGCAGATCGAGGTGAACTAAAACGAGTGAATGTGAAGAGTTGCAATCGCAAGACGAGGAAGAAGCGTGCCTAGGGCGAGCGCTGCGCATTGCCTCAAAATGCCTATGGCATCGAAGGCGGAAAGGCTCACGAGCGAGAGAGCCGGCCATCATGCGGCTGCCTATTAATAGCTATGGAGGTGGCTGTGGGCAGGCGAGATAGCACACAACGAGCAAGCGAGCTAAGAAGCAGTACGTGCGCACGCTACATTCGTCCATACTAATGTGGCTCGAGATGAGTACATACTTGAGGCGGAGCGGGCAAAAGGGTGAGGGGGATACGAATGAAATTTCCGCCCGCGGATGAGCAATGACCGATCGAATGACTGGAGCTAAATAGAGCTTCAGAATAGAAGTTGCTTGTTGGTGAGTGCCGGAAGAAATGTACCTCGGCATGATGAGTGAGGCGTCGAAAGGCACACACACATGGCCCATGCCACAAGTAGAATTGCTTTCTCTTCCGTGTTCAGCACGAAGCGAAGTCAACAGGAGGTAACGGCGTGCCAGAACAGAGAGGCCACCATCAAGTTTTGGTATGTGATCGGCTAGGAAAGTTAGGAAGAGCATCACAGGGTTAGTTTTGCTATTCACATAGCTCGATAACATGACCTGAACCCACGCAAAAAACATAAATACCGTAACCATGGTATTGAATGCTGCCGGGCTGCTGTTCGCTGTACTCACCGAGGATAGATGGAAGCCTAGTATCAGACATACTCTTCTTAGGGGTGGTGGCCGGTTCTATCGCTCAACGACCAGTCAAGGGAAACCAGCAGCTTCATTACAGACGTCGCGTATTGTAGCGGGTTCCTGTTTCGCCATCAACGTTTTCGGGGGGGATGAATCCAGTTCAGTAGCCATCCTCATAATGTTCTTGTTTTTTATGTCTATTGCTCATTATCGATCAACGTTCTCAAAAACGACGCGTACCACCCCCATGATCCAGAAGAAAAACAAACATGGGTGGTATGTTGGGGCGGTCCCTGCAGTACTAGTAGTCCCACAACCTGCGCATACATGACTGAACTTCCACCACAACTAACTGCGAAGAGGCACCCAGGCCCGCGCACTCGCCGAAACTCCACAAAGGGGCGGAAGAATTGACCGCACCGGACCCCTGAACCCCCCACCCCACCCCGACATGCACTCCTGGGGCACCCCACGAGCGCAAAAGGTCAGCAGCAGCAGTTACCGCTTTCCCTTGCGCTGACACAAGAAATCATACGCGTAGAGAAAGCCAATAGTCGACTGGTTGGTGCTGTGTACCGTGATACTACTGCTGCGACACTAAAGGCGGCCCCAACAAACCAACCAGACCACACCTCGCCGCCGGAGAGTCGAGCAAGACACAAAAAAACACAGTATTAGCCGACAAGAACCAACACTTCACATACGCCACCGTGATGTAAAAAAACTACCAACAACGCACGTCCGAGCGCTGTGAAGGCAAACTTCCGGCCGATCACGCGTATGACAGATACCGTTGTCACCCCCCCCCCAAAAAAAAAAACTGGCAAGAAACGCACCAAAAACTGCCTCCCAGTGCGGTCCCCACTTCTAAAGCGAACATGAAGTCGCCAACACGGAAGGAAGAAACTGAACACACGACAAAAAAAATCGCGGTTGATCAACGGGCGTTCTCCAAGCGACAAAGGAAGCACAAAATTCGGCGAGCCCCAAGCACGCGATACCTTCCACGCCTTGATACCACTCCTTTCACCCTGAATCAGCCTTTGCATGGAACAAGCCCCACTCCCACCTACACGCAATACTTGGAGAGGGACGAAGAAACACGCACCGCTTCATCTCGCCTCGCGTATCCATCGCGCAACAACAAACAGGTATATTTGGTATTTGGTATGTGCGTCCAACATCAAAACTCTCATGGAAAAATGACGTGGGGAGCCCTGCGCGCCATCTCCCCTCGTGCACGGTTGGTGCAGCAACCTAACATCACAGAAAACACCGTTCGCCGAGCGTCAAGCTTTCTTCGTCCAGCGGCGCTGGCCTCGACAGTCAGTATGTGGAACCAAACCGTGGTATGTACGCAGCTGCCCAAGGTCAAGACAACACTTGCGTACACGCGCGCCAGAAGCGCGGAAAACAAACGTGCCACTTATGAGAAGACAAAAACAAGATATAAATACACAGGAACAAGACATCACACCGGGAAGGAAGACGCCAACGTTCACGCAGACCCCCCCTCCCGCCGTCTCACATTCTCGACCCCCCCGCCCTTGCCTTCCCACAAGCATGCGCGCATTCTAGAGCGCACTTTGATGCAGCCAGCCTCCTCTACACCCGGGCACCGAAAAAAAAAAAATGACGACAATGACGACGACGTCTTTTCAACTTTGGCGGCCTCTGAAGCACGAAAAGACGAGAGAGCTTCACCAGCGAAAACCCTCGACTTCACCCGGAACAACAGACAAGAACGGGCCACACTTGCAGATGCTCTCGCCGCGGGCGTCTACATAGACTCTTAGCAGCAGCGACCTACGCACGCATCTATCGCATGTATCTGCAGATCAATCGAAGTACACGAGCCACGGCGACGACTTGTCGGCCAGTCGCGCCTGCGTCGGTCTAAAGGAACAACTCTCGCTAGGAAAAAACACAGGAGACAACCGGCTCAAGGTCACCCATCGGCCCAAGCAAAAACGAAGTCAGAGTCGTTCGTTTCTGTGTGTGAATGGACATAATTGTGTGTGAGGGGGCAGGGAGGGGGGAGAACCAAATCGCGCCAAAAACTATCAAACACACAAAAAACTATCCAGGATACTCCACCTCTCCCCCACTGCAGGAATGAATACATTCCCCGAAAAACTTCAATCACGTGCAATCCCTAAAGCACAAGTGTTATTGAACGTATCTCGACTGCCGCTGGAGGCCCCAGTCGGCCGCAACCGCTCCGACGTCAAAACCCTTTGTGTGACCTGAACGCCCCTACAACTTTCGGCGAGCACTTTCGAACCGAAACACGCAGGAACCGGATGCCCCCCCACACACACCGCGTCCACCTGTCTACAAATACGCCCTGCCCCCGAGAGGCAACAAACCAAAATGCAACCGTGCCCCCCACGATACACGCTTATCATTTTCTCGATGATTTCATTTTTCTAAAACCTTATCGTGGGTGGCTTTACAACGAGCCGACTCTAGCAGGCGCGGCACCTACATGTGGACGACGACAGCCAAAAAACAACTATCCACGAATAATTGGTCGATCCAACAAGACCGACCCGAAAAAATTGACCACTGCAGACATGACAAAAACGAGCAGCCGACCACCTTCTACAAACTTTGGCCTCACCCCCTTTCGCCCCCGGCGCAACACCTTTAGGGGCTACGCGTCGCGAGGCATCGTAATTCGACGTCGACGGTGGTCCTCTCCACCACTGCAGCAGGGGCGTGGATATATACACATGAAATATCGATATCAGCAAAGTCTGCCGACAAGGAAAACTAATAAACGCCCCAGTTGCCCCCCCCCCCCCTCGCAAAACGCCAGCGAAAAGCGCGGAATAAAAAGGGTTGGGGGGGACGCCCAGCAGTCACAGCTTCGCAAACGTGCTGCCCCGCGCACCTTTAAAACCCACATAACATGTAACTTGCAGTGAACGCGAGCGAGAAACCGCGCCTGATCAGAACGCCCCCTCATCCCCCCCCGTTATCAGTCACGACCTGATGGTAGAATCTCTGGTCATGATGAGGGGGAGGGCCCCGGGGCGGCCTCCTCCACCGATGCCGCCTCCGGCACATTTCCGGTCTGCGTGCCCCCTCCGGCAGCAACCACCGCGTCCTCGGCGGTTGGAGCGGAGGCACCACCGTTGGAAGGGGTCGTGGATGCAACAACCGCCGAAGGCGCAGGCGCGGGAGCGGCTCCGGTCGTCGAAGACGAAGCGGACGGCGGCGCCGGGTTGGCCTCGAGCAGGGCGCGTTCCTTGAGGGTGGCCGTGTCGGTGACGCCCTGGTGATGGCCGGCGGCGGCGGGGGCGGGGGGTAGTTTGAGGGTAATCGGGGGGGAAGGGGAAGGAGCGGAGTTCAAGGGCTTGCTGCTTTCGTCAACTTGTGCCCGCGTAGCGGCGGTGACCACCGAAGAGGAGTAGGACGGGGGAAGGGTTGGTGGGATGCTTTTCCGTGAGGATGGGCCGGCGGCGGTGGCGGCGGGAGCGAAATACTTCGCCGCCCTGGCGGTGGCCGAAGGGTTCACCGTTAATGTGTCCGTCACTCCCTGAGAAAAAAAAACGAGTTTTTTTCGGCAACACCACAACAGAAAAAAAAACGGAACAAAGACAGGGGAATACTGTAAGATCCAGGTAAAGTGGAGCCGAAGGTAGCATCACCTTTCCACCTTTATATATGTATATATATATATTTATTTTTTCTCCAATCATTGGACTCTGTCGTCTGCCCCTCTGGCCCCTATCCTCCACTTCTACCAGCTAGACGACCCGACCGGGGTCACATAGGAGGGGGGGTTGGACCCCCTCCTGCGGTTCCTGCCTGAGGTATTATTATCATGTACGGTAGCAACCGTTATATGCCTGCGGGTTCGTACATGGGCTGTAGCAAGCAGGCGCGAACGTGTTTGATTGCCCAAGAACAGGCCTTGCTTCTTTCACCGGCCGTGCTCTCGTCGAGGGAGGGCGAGAGTTCTCGATTCCACCACCCACCGTGTGGAGTTGTTCGCCCATTGATAGCCTGGAAGAGTGTTCCTCCACGGGTGCAGTTGCCACCCTTCAAGACCTTCCGGCCATTACGCCCAATTCTCACTTTACTTCGCCACACAATAAAACACAACTTCTAGAAAACGTGCCAATACGGCAAGACTAGCGTAATGCCCGTTCGAGAAAATACGTAAATACTACAGCAGTCCCAAGCGAGTGCGTTCAACTCTTTGCAGTGAGCGGGAGCAAAAACCGACACAATCTTCTCCAATACTCTACTTGTAAGGGTGAACCGAGAGACGCATGGAATTGAAAAGCGTGAGGGTGGGAGCAGGAAGGGAGGTTAGTTTCGCGGGTTGCGAACGTTGCGGTTGTTGCTTACCCTAATCGACGCCGTGGGGTCGAGGGTGAGGCACATGCACTGCACGTCGCCCAGGAGCATTCCGGCGTTCTTGATCTTGACGTCGTTCGCGAAAACGTTGCCGCGGACGATGCCCTCCACGTACACTTCCTGCAGGATGAGTCAATTCAGGTCAAGTCAATAAACAACAAACACCCTTCGAAAAAATGACACACGGCTATCTTTCTTTTGGTTGCCGGGAGTAACGTTGCTTGTTCTTATCATGCGTCCATATGATAGACGCATCGCATGTGGTGCGCCCCCTCGACTGGTATATTGTTATTCCTGACGTGGCCACTTCGCCGGGCCACGAGAACTAAAACCCAACAGACCATAACAAACGACACCAAAGGGGCAAGTCTTGTTTGTGTAGAGAGAACAGGCCAATCAGTGGATGAAGGCAGCAACGCATCAACTTCTGAGATCTTTGACATCATTTCCAGACGCACGTGGCAGCGCGACAAACACACCCTCGATGTCGGGGTCGCCTCTGCTCAACACACCATCCCCGAATATCGCAACCATCAACCGTGCCATCTCCTATCGTGGCATGTTCTTCACCGTGTCTCTCAGCCAAAGTTTCGTGATATTTTGGATGTCTAGTCTGTGTGCCCATGCCTCGTCCTTGCCGAAAAAAAAATCTGTATGAATGTAACCGCAAGTGGCGCGAGCCACCGCGCGTCTGGGTGGGTTGTGTGCTTGCATTGAAACATGAACGAATTGGCCGCAGTTCACCAGAGACGTGCACATCTCGGGAGGGGGTACGGCTGTACGTCGTTGTCAGTCATCCAATCGTTGGCCTCTGCTGGCTCTTCATCTCCCCCGCACGCTGTACAGCAGTATTGTAGCAGTCACAGTCGGAACTACTCCCATCGGTCCCCTCTGAACTACACAATCCGTGCGTTTTTTTCCAATCCAAGTCATGGTTTCTAGTGGATGCATGCGCCGACCGAAGAACGGCACAGGGAGTCCGTCTCGTCGTGTGAATTGATTGACTTGTCTGACCCATAACTGCCCGTGTACAACTCGATGCCCCATTCCCAAACTAACATGACGTATGTATGCATAGCAAACATAAGTAAAGAGTACGTTGACTCCTTCGCGCGTCTGCATGGCCAACAATCGCAACAGCTGTAGCATCATAGGCGCCTCTCGGAGACTGACTTGCCACGCAACATATATGGGAGAGACGGCACCAGCAGCAGCACCAGATGCTGCTGTAGATACCAGCCGCTGAAATAATAAAAGGGCTTTCTTTGTTGCACACACCCGAGAGAAACAAGATAAGAGAGCGCCCGAACCTAAGAACTCGGCAAATTGAGCCTGAAAAAAGAACCGAGAAGAGTTGCACACCATTTGTTAGCTCACCCCTTGCACAAAAACCTAAATGCATAGAACGGCCGTTCGTAGCTCAACCGAAGAACCCCAGCCTGGGCCAAAGCTAGAGGTTCTCCAGCGCGGGCGTGCGCTTTCTGTATCAAACGCATCCAAAAAATGGATCTGTGTCTTCACTCCCATCCCTGCAGATATGAGCAAGTATGATGCATGCCAAACCCACCTGCATGTTCTTGAGGTCCCCAACGACCTCCCCCTTCGGCCCCACAACCAGGCTCCCTTTGTCCGTGATGAGCTCTCCCTCAAACCGGCCGTCCACGCGCAAGAGACGGGTGAACTCCAGCTCGCCCTTCATTCGGAGAGTCTCGGCCACCATCGACTCTGGTTTCTGGATGATGGACGCGAGTCGGGGGGGGGGGGGCAG